GTGTGTGTGTGTGTGTGTGTGTGTGTTTGATGGTGACACGGGTCACATCCACCTCTTTCCTCTCTTCACCCCTATCTGCACCCAACAATCAGCCAGCATCAAGTTTCCTGTTTAAACTGCGAGTTTGGAGGAAATAGACTGAGTGGAAATCAGAACTAGAGTTTGTAGATGCTGGTATCAGGCTTCTATATAGCTGTGAGCCACTTGTAAATATTCTGTAAATAGCAAATTAAACCAGTGATCATACACTGTAAATAAGAGCACTTAGTGTCAGGTTAGCGGGAGTGAGAAGTCCTATTTGCTGAACACCTTTTTCTCATATTCTTGGTCACAGAAATCTCAATATTTTGCTTTTTACTTTCTGGTAGGGCAAATGGGGAGACATTAGTATTCTGTTCATGATTTTGGGAACGGCTCATCTCTGCAGCAAATAATCTGTTGCTCAAAACTCCTGGGAGCAGGAAAAGTAGGGAATCTGTGTTTAGGTAAACCCTATGCTTTAGTGATGTGTCGGTCGCGAACGAAATGGCTCTTAGAGCCGGGGCGGTAGTTACACTCAGTAGCTCAGGAACAGAGCGGGAGGGAGAGAGAGAGAAAGAGAGCCAGGGACAACAACGTCACATTAGAAAGGTATAGTAATCATCCACAACTATTTTCAGTTGCAGATGATAAAGGATTCAGAAAGTTTATTCATGCAGTGTTTTGTGTTGTTTCACTTTAAATTTGTAAAAGGAAAAAGCTGAAAATTTAAATAGTTAAAAGTTGAATGTGAACAGTTGGTTTTTGTATTATATGATTTATTTATTCCATTTTATGTGGAGTGAATAAATAAAAGTATATTTACAGTGGCCCCTACAGACAAAGCACATACAAAACACAACAGAAGTGCTCCAGGATGCAGGCGCAGTGTTGAGCTTTTGTTACCTAGTGGCTACACAAGCCAGGAAGTACCAACGACCGGATTTGGTGTGTGGTAGTAACAGGTAAATGAACATTTTTTTTTAATTATTTGAATATATATGAGTGATTGTGTATAAATACACAAACAATACAAATATGCTTTCAATTGTGTAATTTAAGTGATCTAGGTAGCTCTGTTTTGAAGTTCAGTTCATGCTAGATGTGTTTTGGAGTTTGGACGTGCTTTGTCTCTAAGGGCCACCGCATATATTTATATATAAACATATATAAATAAAACCACTTTTGTTTTTTACATTAGTAATTCCTTTTGTGCTTAATTTTATATTATTGTTAATAATAAATTAATTAAAGCAACAAAATAACCTGAAGAGCCGGTTCAGAGCTGAAAGAGCCGGTTCTCTAAAAATAGCCGTAAATCCCATCACTACTATGCTTGCACATTACATAACTGAGTTGCTGCCATTAAAAAATAAAGTAAATTGCCATCATGTTTTCCAGTATTCAGGTATTTTTTGTGCTTCTGTTCATTTTGGGTCTTACTTTGCCACTCTGGTCTCCACTCCTGCATATCTCACAACCCTCATCAGGCCGGATCGAGTACCGAGGAAAGCCGTCTCAACCCCTGGCTCCACCCTGCATACAAACAACAGTAACACAAGATTAAAAGGGAAATCAGCTCTTTATCAAAAATCGGACAAACGTCACACGTTCCAAGAAAAGCCCCAAAAGTTTTTACAAGTAAAACACCTCAATTGATCTTCCAGATATTTTTGGTTTTATCTGTTTAGGTTTTAGGACATCTCATAACCAATAAAACGTCAGGGCATGTCATGTCTCCTGCCTGACCTGTCGTTCAGCATCAGGGTGTTCCAGTAGGCCTCAAGCGGAGCTGTGACCACGGCGTCGAACAGCGTCTGCGACAGCAGCACCTCATCACCTGGTTAATGGGAAAGCTTCAGTTGAATGAAAGCAGATTCAAGGTCAACCTGGACCAAAGCTTCTAACTGAACACAGAAAAGGGGAACAAACTAAAGCTTGAGTGTCAAAAACCTACACTCGAGGTCAGGCTCCTTCCCCAGCAGGTAGCGGATGGCGGCCTGCAGCTGTGAGTACTTTCGGTGAGCAGGGTCGATGTCTGTCTCACAGTAAGTCCTGAGGAAAACAGATCTATTAAACCAGGTTCACAGAACCTCCGTATTCTGCAGGACGTTTGACAGGGTTTCAGGCCAATAACATCAATATATTTGTAGGCTGTCTGATCAGTGTCAGTGTCAGAACAGATAAATGAAATGGCTGAAAACGTTTGTCTTAAATCATCATCAAGGACGGTTTTTACCACTCAGAGGCGATGGTGAGATCCGGTGAGGTCAGATCATGCAGCCCTGAGAAGCAAGGTAGAAAAAGTTTAGTCGGTTCAAATGAAAACACAGAAGTTTACTTCACGTTAGTTTAAGAAATGTGTTGCAGAGCATGTAGTTAACAGGCTCCACACAGCACACGATTTCAAGTCTGTACTGAGGGCAGTTGTGGGAAACCTCACCTTCTTCCACAGATACATTTCCCATAAACATGAGCTTCCCGTGACCTTTGGTCAGTGCCATGCCGAAGCTGCGGAGACAGGTGGGGAGACGGTGACACTAATTTGATTTCTGCACCGTACAGTGTGCCCTGCTGCCCTCTAGAGGCCTCCTGGATGAAGCTCAAACATTACAGGACATATTTTCTGTACTAATATACAATAAAAAACTTTTTGATCCATCCCTCTGTATTTTTGATTATCTCTTCTTTTCTTTAAAGACCATAAGCACATACTACAGGCTTGTGAGATGAATTTATGCTGCTATCTTCTACAGGGGGTCCGACTTTGACCATTCCTTCGTAAAAGCTGGAGTTGTGCACCCTTTATTAATGTTCCAGTAGAATAAAATCCAAAATTAAGCAGCAGGGATTAACATTCAGCATGTGACGACCTAAATTTGATGTTGTGTAAATTATGTGATATATTATAAGTTTTCCTTCTTTTACCCTGACTAAACATTAAGTCAGGATGCATGAACAGCGTACAGCTAGACCCTACATGCTTTCACAGCTGACTGACAAGTTTGACTGAAAATTCAGCGAGTGATGATGTCACTGTGCTACGCGTGCACAACCGGAAGAACAAACTATCAGACAGGGCACGAAAGGACGGATGGACAAAGCACAAAGCACTGCGCGTTTACCTGAAAGGCGTGTTGTCAATGTTGGTGTAGAAATATTCGTTGGTGAGGTACAGCGGCCTTTTCTGTGGCACAAAGAATCATTTTATCAGTGATGCTGCAGTTTATGCACATTTAATAAGCAAACTCTACGATCGACTGACTGAGACATCAGTATTACCCCTTTATCCACTGACGCTCTGATGTTCAGGCTGAGAGTGCCTGTCTCTCCTTTCACCATGGCCGTCCTCAGCTGAAAGTAGAGAAAGAATAAACTCTGAAATATATTTTAAATGTTTTTCTGCCTAAAGAAAAAAAAGACACTGATGCTACTGAACCACTCTAGAAATTCTCTCATGCAGAGAGAAATCAGGGATTACTAAACGCGAGGGGATTTAATAATAATAATAGTAATAATAATACATCCATCCATCTTCATCCGCTTTATCCGAGGCCGGGTCGCGGGGGCAGCAGCCTAAGCAAAGAGGCCCAGACCTCCCTCTCCCCAGCCACCTCCTCCAGCTTATCCGGGGGAATACCAAGGCGTTCCCAGGCCAGCCGAGAGATATAATCTCTCCAGCGTGTCCTGGGTCTGCCTGGGTCTACTTTATTATTATTTAATAATAATACATTTTATTTAAAAATAGCGCCTTTCAGAGCTCCCAAGGACACTGTACAACAAATACAAAATAATAAGAGTAACAGATAAAAGTTAAAAGCGTGCAGAGGTTTAAACATAAGCAACTTTAAACAGGTGAGTTTTGAGGCTGGACTTAAAAAGAGGGAATGAAGTAATGTTTCTGAGGTCAGGGGGTGAGGAATTCCAGAGTCGAGGGGCAGAGCAACTAAAAGCCCCGCCCCCACTGTAATCAGACGAGCGGAAGGAACAGAGAGAGAAAGAGAAGATCTGAGGCACCGGGATGGGAAGTTCATCTGTACTAAATCAGAGAGGTATGGTGGAGAGAGAGAATGAATAGCCTTAAATGTATAAAGAATTATTTTTAAATGAATGTGAAATTTAACCGGGAGCCAGTGAAGCAGCTTCAGGATTGGGGAGATGTGGTGGGTAGAGGAAGTCCTAGTAATAATACGGGCAGCAGAGTTCTGGAGCTTGTTAATGGATTTCTGTGTAAGGCCAAATAATAGTGAGTTACAGTAATCAATTCGAGAGATAATGAGATTATGGACGAGAATGGCAGTGGCATGAGGAGTGAGGAAAGGGGGGAGGCAATTGATGTTACGGAGCTGAAAATATGCTGCACGTGTGACATTATTGATGTTTCCCTTTTCCTGCTTTTGGAACTTTTGACATTCACATGATGATATCCGAACAAAACCATCAATAATTGTGTCCTGAAATAATCTGTTTGTGTTTACCAGCTCGTCTGTGTCCTCCCACTCCACCTCTGACAGATCCACACTGTTGTAGTTTGGCTTCGGCTTCAGTTTCTTTCCGTCTTTGTACTGCAGGACAGAAGAGGCACTGTTACTGAGTGTGTGTGTGTGTGTAATACTGTACAACCCTTCTCATAAATATTTGATACCGTTCCCTCTTAATGCACCCTTCAGGAGATTTGCTAAACTTTTATTACTTTAAATTTAGCTCAAGTAAATCAGAGCAGCTGCCACGGAGCCCGTGCGCTAAATGTGTTTTCCAAAGTGGCCTTGAAACACAGCTCACCAGAGGTCGAAGGTCGGGGTGAGACAGGATGTAGCCGTTGTTGTTGATGAGGAAGGCGTAGCCGTGAGCTCCCAGCTGAGAGGAGAGCAGAAAACATTTAAAGCGTTTATTTTGGAAATAAAATAAAGCAGAAACAGAGTAAACCGCCCAGAGCTCACCATGTATCGGGGTGCCAGCTTCATCACCTCCATCAGCGGGATGTCGGAGCCGACCACACCGAGCAGGATGCCATGGGACAGCTGGAGACAGACGCACAGTCAAAACTCAGAGTTATAATCAAGCACCAGCCTTTTGGTTTGTGCTTCTTTCAGACACATTCAGCCCACTTTGACCTTCAGTGGCGTGTCCCAGTGAAGCTTCCTTTTCTGTCACTGTAAAGTTTAACTACACTTTTAATGCCTGTGCAATTTCAATATAACAAAAGATATGCATTTTCAACAGCAGGCTATTTCTGCAGCAGTGTTTAGTGTTCAAAGTACAAAATATTTGCTCTCTTTCACATTTTCCAAAGCAAAGCAGAATTTAAAATGTCATAGTAAATGTACAGCATGACAAGTCATCTGAACTATTTATCGATTTATTTCTGTTTTCATTGACTGTACAGACGTGCTGCTCTTCATCGTCAGGCTGATGTGTATCAGAGCTGACACTGACCGTCTCCTTCTTCTTGCTGAAGACCGGCATGGCCACTGAGGTCATGAGCAGCAGACTCTGAGCCTTGGTGGCGAAAAGCTGAGAGACGAGAGAAAATTGGGCACAAAGTGTGATTATCTGAAGTACACAGACAAACACTCAATATAATGAACAACAAATCTGTAACAGGTGCACACAGTATTACTGTCCACATTACACAACGTGTCGCTGGATAGACTCTGACAGACGGGACCGTACAGGTTTTACATTTTTGTTTTTATATAGTATGTTGGCATTTTGGGTCATTTCTTAATTTTAAAGGTGTTTTGCAGATTTAAAAAAAGAGAATGTTATTTGTCGGTGTGTTGATTTCACATTATGTGCACATCTGAGGTTGAACTCCAGGTGGTGGTGTGGTCCTGATGCGGACCTGCCAACCGACCATGATATGAGCACTACAATCAGTTTGAGAACACTTCAGGGAGGCCTCCAGCAACTTTCAGGAAACTATGAGAAAAAGCCACCTTTTTAAAAGTCAACCCATATATCTATTTATTTGAATGTGGGAATATGGGATGGATGAATGGATGATCTTCTACATGAACAAAATAAAGATAAAAGAATCTAAAAAGTCTAATTTTCTGAAGCTCAGAGCTGATAAGACAGAGGTTCTAGTTTCTGTACCAGAAAATATGCCCATCCTGATCTAGAATAATCTAGGCCTTTGCCCTCAACTGTTCCTGTTAGTGTACCTGATCTAAGACTTCGTGTTGATCAGTCCTTGTCCTTCGACACACAGAGTTCTCCAAATGCTGTTTTTTCCAACTCACTAAAATCATCAAGGAAAGGTGCTTGTTTGTGTTTTGTCTCTTCTTGTATAGACTTCTGTAACTCTCTTTTTCTGCACTCAGTAAGTCGACACCCTGGGTTGCCTGGACGCAATTTTAAAAATGCTAATTTACTACATCAAACAGACCGTCGCATATAACTCCACTTTGATGACACTTCACAAGCTCCCTGTAGCACTTACAATGCTGTTTAATATCCTCACCCTTACCTACATGGCAGCTAATGGCTATTTGAAAGGCTTCTCCTGTTGCACAGGAGGAAGAACATGGCCTAAAACCTGAGATGCAAACATGTCCATGCAGTTCTCAGATATCTTCACACAGGTGTGTCATAGTATTTGTAAGCTGTGTTTCTGCAGCTCTGAACCATTGCAGCTTAAAAAGCTGAACTTTGCGCTGCTTCCTTTGGATCTTCTGATAAAAGAAATGCCAAAAATAAAATAAGGTGAAAAGTTGCCTGATAATTTTTTTTACTAAGGCATTTAATTTGATAAGTAATTCTGCTTTTAAGCTGCCAAATTAAACTCCATGTTATATACTGATGGTAGAACCTGTAGGAGCTTCACACAAGTCCAACAGATGAAGAACTAACTATTAATCTAAAACTGCAACTTCTTTTTTTTTTTTACCTCCTCTGTGTTTGGAAGCTGTTGGGGTGATGGAGATGAAGGCCCAGAGGATCATGGGATAATGGGTTCATGGAGACGAGGAGAAAAAACACACATGACAATAATGACATTGTTCTGATTTAAATGAGCCCTTCACAACAGATTTAAATAGAATGGTAGTGTATACTGTAAATATGTTTAATGGCTTCTTTAAGCCCTTTGATTGGCCAGGCAGGCTCACCACAGTGTCCATGTAGGCCTCTGTCCAGATGATATCGTGGTCATGGTTGATGACCATTGGCCGACTGAGCACGTGCAGGTACTCCATGACATTCTCCTGCACATCTGCCAGTGTGGAGATGTGTGTGTAATAACCTGAAAAAAAACACACATGAGCATGTTAGTGTCTGCATGAAGAAAAACCAGGAAAGTATCACACGCAGGACCAACCTTTGTTGTTGCAGGCGATCCACTTGGTGTTTTGAGCAAAGGTCATCTCTCTGCCAATCAGGTAGGTGAAGACTCGCACCTGAACACAGTGGCACACCTGTTTATGTCCGTGTTTGCCCATTTACAAAGTTACCTGCTAATGTTTTTGTGCAGGCAACTGTAGTTAAACACAGGAAGTCGGGTTTAGAGCACGTAAGAATGAGGTGATACTTTGACAATAAAGAGGTAATAATCAATAAATTACCAAAGTAATACACAAGTAATACGCTGATACAACAATTGTATATAGAACTGTCTAACAACAGACAAAATACATTCAAAGGTTACAGTATATAGAGACATTTAAGTGACGTCACTATAAAATATATTCATATATTTACATATTATTGTAACAGTAACTTTTTAAGAAACAAATATGGTGATATTAATGGTGTAATAATAGTAAGTAATGAGGTGAAACAGGCTATGATGTAGAGTTAATTCATTTCTAATATGGAAAAGCTCTCAGCTCGCGGTCCTCACCCTGCGCTCAGGCCAGTTGAACTCCTCAAAGACGGACTGAAAGTCCTCCATGGCGCCGTCTGTGATCAGCATGATGGCCTGGTTACACATGCTGCCCTGACCGTTCGCCCTCGCCTGCACACAAATGCACAACTTAGACACAGCAACAACTCCATCATCGATCTCTACTCTTTGAAAAGAGAATAAAAAAGCACTTTGTGATGCTAGATATCATTTTTTAGATTTAAGCCCCTTTTAAGCCAGGGAAACAGCAACTTTACTGTAAAGAAAATCTTTTTGAGTCTTCCCGCTCTCCAGGAAGCTTGTTGTGAACATTAAACCAGCTTAAAATTGTTTTAAACCATGAATATCCAAACAACAGTTTAACAAAGTATTGTACCCAACAGAGAAAACAATAAGTGCATTACAGTAGTCCAAACATCTTAAGCATGGACAAGATGTTCAAAAACATAAAAAAGATAAAGTAAACTCACTAAAAGCCTCAACCATTTAAAAACTAGTTTTAATAAGAGAATTTATCTCCTTATCTTAGATTCACAGTCCAGTTTGACACAACAGTTTTCTGCTGGGTCTGAACACCTCAGGTTACTCTCAGTGAAATAATTAAAAAACCAGCAGCAGTCAGCAGTGTTACTCAATGCACCAAAGGTAAAAATGTGAAAAATCCAAGGTTATTGTCAGAAGACTTGACCTCTGACCTTGACTTTGTCGAGGTCACTCAGAATTACTCGGCAGGGTGACAAAAATACCCCACGAGCCTTTGATGGTTGAGGGATAAAAAATGATGGGAATGTTTACTTTGATGTTCTTTAGAAACTCCACCTGTGGTTTAGGGGAGTTGATATTTTCATTGGTAGGTAAATGTAAGTGTTGTTAAAAAAATGGTAGACACGCCCATGTTATTTAGAAATCAGGCCAAGATGGAGCAGGTAAAATCAATATAAGTTAGGAGAGTGGTAAAAAGCGGGCTGAGCGGACACTAACCTCGTTCAGGATTTTGAAGGACTCCTTCATGGCATTCTTGATCTTTGCTTCGCCTTTGACATGCAGCTCCTCCACCAACACCTTAAAGTGCTGAGATGGGAAACGAGTACAAAGAGGCTTTGTATACAGACAGACATTCATTTTTATTGCCCAGATTCAAAGAAATTCAGATTTAATTTAATTTGAATATATGTGCCTCCCTTTATCCTGTCAGTCAACTACAACCAAGTTTCAATCATTTATTACTTAGGTGACTAATTTTGATCTTATGTTTGAGGTAGTTTTGAAAAATTCGGTACCTTCAGCCTTAACACAGAAACTCTCACAAGCACAGAGGCTCTCTAGCTCCAGCTTGACCTGCTGTGGTTTCTGATGCCACTTTAAGAATTAGGCTAAGAGGCTGATCTGATAATGACACTCTGGGTTTTCCCTCTGTGTTTGCGTCTGTGTGATGGCTGCTAAGATGCCTCCTGGGCTCTTTAGGCTTCCATGAAGCAGATAATGGTCTCACCTCTCTGTTGTCCAAGTCGGCCTGGACCAGAGTTCCTCTGAAACACGGCTCCACGTAGCGAACGTAGTCTGTGTACTGCAGACAGGGAAAGAAACACAGACGAGGCAGGCTCATGAGCAAAAACAGGCAGTCAGTGGTTCCATTAACTAATCCAGTAATTGAACCTTTATTGTTTTAGTGATAAAGCTATGAATTCACAATGATGTTGATGTTACCCAGACTTAAAAAGTACTCACACCAGCACAACACATGCTTTTCATAATGAAACTGAGAAGTGATTACACTTTTTAAGATGTGAGGGGTTTCCTGACCAGCCAGGTCTTAATCCAACATCAAATTAACGTGTTGGTTCCAACACGTTAATTTGATGATATTTGGTTATAACTGGTGACATTTCTATGTTAGGAGTTCTTCCTTGTTCTTGTTTAGTTCCTTTCCATTTCATTTGGATAGTGTTTGTCTCTGGTAGTTTGTATGTAGTTTTCTGAGTACTGCATCTGAATCCTTTCAGGGCTTCAGGATATGCACGATATGAGAACTTATGAGCCTGTAGCGCTAATGAAGCAGGCATGGATTACCATCACTGTAAATACCATCTCTTTGCATAAATGTGATTTATTATCCAATAAGTCTTAAAAAGAAAGGAAATAATTATGGTTATTTTTTAACTCTAGATACCAGTAAAAATAATTTAAATTGAAAAAATGTATGAAACTCCAAATTTATGCCACTTGTGAAACTTTTGGTCATGACTGTTGTTTTCCTGCCATTTTTCACTTAAACGCTGCTCAGAGTCACAACACTGTAATAGTTTTTAAGTAGATGTGCGCATGTCTCACAGCAATGACGTTGACAAAGTCGTTCTCTCCCAGTGTATCCAGAATGGTGTTGATGGTGTGTTTGGCAATGGTCATCTTCAGTCCCTTCATACTGCCGCTAATGTCCACCATGATGATGATGTCTTTGGGAGACGTGGCAGCCTGGATGTACCTGTACACAGGAAGTGGAGACAGCCAATGGCTGTTGGGATCAATAACATTGCTCCAAACTCCACAGAGTAGTGGAGCAGTGCCATTGACATTATACCTGTATACACATATTATATATTATTAGCATACACTAAGAAAAATGAAATTGGGTGGTTGTTACATGTACAAGATCCAAACTTGTAATTTGAACTAAATAATTTCATGTTTCTATGGTGAACGTAATTAAATCATGTAGCATCTGCATGAAATTCAGCAACTTGTTCTTGTTGAGATGACCTGATACGATCTAGTAAGAGTGGTTAGTTGTCTGGAATCACGAAATTCACAAGATCATGTTAGAAGTCAAACTGCAGGAAAATCGCTGGAGTTTTAAGAGGCAGACAGCTACACCCACACCACGTGTATGCTATTGCTATTTATTGTGGTTTAACCTGTCAAGGACAAAAACGTACAGAAAATTCTGCATCAAGCCTTGTAATCATAGCTTTCCTACTTTTGTTAAGCCTGGAGTGACAGCTTGGAGGTGTGATGGTTACTGCTGTTGCCTCACAGCAAGAAGGGCCTGGGTTCAAATCCACAATCTGGCTGGTTTGCAGTGTGTAATTAGAGTTACGTTAATTGGTGATTCTAAATTATCCATGAATGTAAGTGCAAATGGTTGTTTGTCTCTATGAAATCACCAACCCCCATATTGGTTCATTAAGCAAGACTAATTGCCTTGATTAACAAAGTAGTTGTTCAAACAACAAGATTTCATTGTGTTCTCTTAAAGTTTTTAACTTGTGTCGAATGAATTAAAACAAATTTCACTTTACATACTTCAATAAATCACTTCAAGTCAATGTAAGTATACTACGTTGATCCAACGTAATCTGATTACATTAAACCACCAAATGCCAAATGTGTTGGTTTGACATGGTCAAAAATGGGTTATTGTACTTGGTTAAATCACGTGGAAAAAGGTGCCACGATTAAATTGTGTTCATCCAACAACAGATTTTTTTGAGCATACATTATCATTGCTATGCAGATGATACCTAGCTGTATCGATCCACCAAGCCAGATGACACACACCAGTTACTTAAACCACAAGAATGTCTTAAAGACAAAGGAGTGGCTGACCTCGAATTTCCTGCTTCTAAATTCAGACAAAATTGAAATGATTGTAGTCGGCCCATAAACCTTGGAGACATGATGTCTAGCCCGATACTTACTCTGGATTACACTGGCCTCCAGTAACACTGTGAGGAATCTTAGAGTGTCCTTCAACATCCATTAAAACAATCTAACTGCAACAGTTCCAGCAGCCAAAGGTCAAATGTGAAAAGGAGCATCAGGCAACCTCCGAGCCTGCAAAGTACAGCCAATATAGAAGAACCGAAAACTGCACTTCCCCTAATGGCCACTTTAAGCTGTCTGCAAAATGTCCAACTTAACTAATTATGATAACACATAACAATTAAAAGCTGAGCAGTAAATCATACTTTAAGCTGTCACTCTCAAACATGGACAGAGATATTAGAGGGAACCATGAACTGCAGATCTTCTCGTCTCTGGGAAAAACTGTGTGGATGCTCCTGAGCCAATTTTTGAAGAAAAAAAAAAAGAAAGAAAGAAAAGAAAAGTGGCCTCATCATATAACTCACAGAAATCTGGTTCTCCTGTACTCCTTTACTTTGCAAAGGTGAATTTAAACTTTTAGACTGTGACTGTCCAGCACTGAACAGAATAAAATATATTTATGGTTAACAGATTGTTAGCTTCATACAGGGGAACTGGGGATTTGTGTAAAAATCAAATCTTTATAGTTTGGTGAATTCTAATCAACGTGAGGAGTTTGTTACTAATTTCTGGCAGAAATGTCTGATGTTAAGCAAACATTCTCAACAGGTTCTTTATGAGCTGCTTTTAGAAAATCCAGGAATTGCCCCTGCAGAAAGAAACGTATCATCTATCATCACAAACTCAATCTGCATGTTTCACAGTCTCTCTCAATGTAAGTCCCTGCAGATGTATGGCAGCTCAGCTGCAGTAATGTGGAGCGATGAGGCATTCAGGGACATATGCAGTTCTCTGGTATTATTTAGAAATGCATGAGCAGTCACATATGGTGCCATGTGGGCTGCCGTGACCCGACTAAGGAGCAGCTTATCGTCTTTTCCAGAGGATCAGTGTCTGGCTGGCCTCTGCTCAACCAATGCAAAGCCAGCGGAGTGGCCACTTAGACTGACTCAAATTCAGCCTCATGGAGGGATTTATTCCATTTTTGCATTGTGCTAATTCCTGCTGTTATATAGATAAGTCTATACACAGTAGCACAGTTGGTACATCCCTGATAATGAGGTTTTACTCTTAAAGATGATGATTCTACAAGTGTTCAGAAATTTGGAAGCTTTTCTATCTCCCACTGGAAGAGTAAGCACCATGTTTGGCTGGTTTACGTTCAGGCAGAAGCATTTATGTCTTTAACTGAAGCAGCTTTATTTGTGTGGGGAGCTGAAGGCAGTGAGATATAATGAAGTCTTCTTCTTCTTGCATCTGTAAAAAGATTAAATTCACACTTTGACTGAGGTGCTTCCAGCCTCCCTCATTAGTGGATTCTGTGTTTCTCTTTCTCTGCTGCTGGTGAGTTGACACCTTTAAAATTAACATGCTAAACTTAGCAACCCAGCTGCCTCAGTGTTTGCCTGCAGGACATTTAAGTATTTAATATCATTCGAGTGAGACACAACCCTAATCAAGCAGGCTTCAGTGGGTCATCAAACCAAACAGCCAAGGTGAAATATAGCCCTTGTTATGCTTAAGCACATAACCTCAGAAATGATTATTTTACTGTTCCAAAAATAGCAGAGCCCCAGTGAGTAGTGTGACTTTGTCACTTCAAAGCCTCTCAGAGATAAAAAGCAGGAAAACCTGAGCCCATTAAGCTTTTGAGGTTCTCGGGTTCTGGAGTAATGTGTCCCCCACATGATTATCACCACTGAACTTTACCATTTACCATAAATACAAAAAAATTCAAATGAACTGTACCTCAGAAGGCAATGACAAATGATTGGTAGAACAAACTCACCAGTTTCTGTTCCTGCAGTCGAAGGCTACAACACCGTTGGAGTCTGGAGTCCATTTAATACCTGACCAAAAGACAAGGAGTCAGTTCACAGAGTGACACCTGTGATATCAATAAGAAAAAACGTACATGGATACAAGGATATAAGAAATATTGAAAGACAAACAGGGAAGTTTGTGTGGATTGTATGGAATTGTATTATATGATCATTCCAAAATGATGTCAAACTGTCTAATTTCACTTGTTTTATTTCAGTCAGGACCATAAGGGTCAAACAAAGACTGGTATTTCCACAGCAACAGCCCAGAACAGAACAGAGGCACCATCAGTGGCAACAGATGCATGAAAAAGAGTAAATGATACCATAAGGATTATTTTGAATTGTGAAATAATGCAAAGCTACTCTATTAGAGCCAAAAATAAAATCATGGAGCTGGAAACGAGCAGGACACTTTATGGCTGAACTCACCAGGGTAGATCCTGAAGAAACCCGTGGAGCTGCCAAAGTACTGCCAGGTGAGTGTAGGATCCTTCTGGAAGTTACCGATGAAGACGTCGTTTAAAGCCTCTGTGTTGTAGATGGCATTGAGGATGTTAGGATCTGCACACAGAGGAAAAACATGCTGATTTAGAGCTTCCTTTTAAAGAGCCATGGCCTATGTTGAGGGAGTCAGCCGTGAAGCACCTCTGACCTTTGTTGTACACATTGGTGGGAACCTGGATGTTGCTCATCTGAGTGTTGACAGGCAGTTTATTAAAATGTTCATTCTCCTCGAGGGGAAATTCTCCACCCAGATCCACATAGTTCCCATCCTCATCCGCAGTGTTGATCATCATCGAATTGTAGTAATCAAACTGGGAGAGGCAGCAACAGGAAATTCAGCTTGTTTTGTTTGTCACACAGAAATCCTGATTTTCAGTTCATTCAGATTATTGAGGAGTTAGAATCTGGTCTAATGTGTTTTTGTGTTTTTGACCCCTCAGGGCCACCATAAGCATGCAGAGCTTGAAAACTGTCAGGTTTTTGGCAACAAAGGCTGAGAAAAAGTTTTTGATGTTGACAGTAGCTATAAAAACATGTTGCATCTCACATTTCCTTTTTAATAAGGTTTGACTGGATCAGGGAGCCTCTGCCGCTATGGGCTCATTAAGGTCCTAAACGACCCAAAATGCATGAGTGCCTCTTGTGTACTCTCTCACCAATACTGTATATCATTAAGCTTTTATCTCGTGGTTTTTCTTTCTGTCCTCTCTCTCCTTGTACAGGACCTTCCTGCATCCCTTCTAGTTAGAGAAATTTAAGAGGCTTAACCCTCAAAACTGTAAATACAAAAAAGTTGCACAAAATAGTTTCCCACCACAGGAAATTTATTTTGAGTGTCTTCATAGTTTTATTTTTGAAATACACCAATTTTTATATACTGCAGGAAAACAAAAATAAATATTATATGCAAATTATAAAAAAAAAAAAAAACCACCAGTATAGGCTCATAAGGCCCTGATGGTAAAAAACTACATTTCCGCAAAATGACGTCACTTCCGGTTTCGGGCAGGTCATGGCGGACATGCGATAGTTCGCGCTGATGGACGTAGGAAGTGTTACAAACAGCTGATCGGATCGGCAAAGCGTGTTTCTGGAATATTATGTTTTTGTTGCTGCAAGTGCTTTTTATGCAGTTTTTGCAAAGCTATATGTGGAAGGAAACCGTGACCTAGGACAAGCTGATGGCATAAGATGTAAGTACAACTCTCCGGCTTCATATGCAAAAAAAAATTATTGCGCTAGCTTACGTGGTTGCACTGCTACTGGGATTTAAAAATAGTTACGCAAAAGGAGCGTGCCCACTCCGACCGGCTTTAAAGGGTTAAACATCTCTGGCTTCACAATATGAAAATGTGTACAGAACAAATTATATTTGTTTCATTCACATAAGTTTACGGCAAAATATCAGAAATACAAACCCACAGATGGAAGAATCCAGAAATACTTAACTTCCCTGATGCTTATTGTGCGTTTCTTTGCGACCCAGTTTCCTATAGGATCAGTGAAGTTTGACCTAATCTAATTTCAGGTGTCAGCTGAGGTTTAAACCTCCAATCTGCTCCGGCCTCACAGCCTGCTGTCAACTCTGATCCATGCACAGTCAGCTAATGATAGCATTCAGCTAAACCAAGGAAAGTACAAATGCACCCGACACTGACACATGACAGACATGGAGGTTTTATCGTCCATCAGCATTAATTTAAACATGCAGAATACAGAATACGTCCTGGGTGATTCCAAACCAGCCAGTGAATCAGTTATCATCAAAACCAAAGAGTTGCACTGACCTTTAATGTTGCATTGAATTCATGGTACAAATCTGAGTCTTCTGCAGATTCTGCTAACCTCTGGCACAAGAAAAAGAGGAGAGAAATAAAACGGAGACTAAAAGACTGCACTGCACATGCACAGAAAAGCAAACCAGCGAAAAATTATGAAATGTGCAAAATCCACATTTTAAAGGTTCATTAGCTACAATGAGCTAAGAAATTATTATTAGTATTAGTATTATTATTATAATACAGTCTCAAAAGAGTATAGAAAGAAAAGGACTTTGGTGAGCAGATTCTTTTCGTTTTTATTATCAATATTATCAGGACTCCTTAGAGCCACAACAATATGAGAAGCACTTCCTTTAAGAAAAATTCAGATATGAATGGCTTTAAAGGAATATGCACAGCTGGATTTAGCTGCGTTGGGAAAAAGTGAATTAGTTACTGTAGCGCAGAGTTCAACACAAAGGAATTCATCAACAAAGGCAACATTTAAGCACCAAAATGATTTTTATCAAGGCTAGTGTCACAGTTCTGGGTCATTTTGACGCAGCATTTTCTGTTTCTTATATTTTGGTGTTTTTCTAGATTATTATTTATGTTCTGATTCTTGAGTTGTTCTGGTTTGATTTTGTATTATATTTTCTGTCAAGTCTGTCTGTCTCTGTCAAGTCTGCGTCTTTGTAAATTGTTTCCTGTTTTATTTTGATAGTTCCAGTCCTATGTCAGCGTATTCAGTTAGCCCTAATTTCTCCCAGCTGTGTCTCCCTCCTGTTTTCCATTCCCTGATTACTCCACTGCGTATTTAAGCCCTGTGTTGGCCTTTGGCCTTTGTTGCGTCATACTTTCTACATGCTGTGTGTTTGTAGTGTTCCAGTGGTGCAATTCCCCTGTTCTGAGTTTTGTTTTGTTTTTGTGGGAGTTATTTATAAGGAGATTTTTCCAGCATTAAAGCTGTGTTTTCAGTTCCAGTCCCGTCTTTGAGAGTCCTGCATTTTGGGTCCTTTTTCCTTCCTGCCTGCCACACAGCCTATCATGACAGTTAGAAACAGATCATGATTTGAATGCATAAATAACAAAGGCTTTTTTAAAGCTCGGTTTTCTGAGCTTCCAGCTTGATGCACAGCCATGAAACATTCTTCCAGTTGAAATACATTTAGGACCATCACACATTTTTCCATAAGACCAGTCAGACCCAACTACTTCTACTTCAACTGCTCCAGCTGCACACTTTATACAAAGTGATCACAGTGATATTGTTCATGCCACAAAGAAAACTGTCTAACGGATCATTCTGCTGTATTTTGTTAGGCAGCAAACTAATGACACAAATTATAACAGCATGTACTAAAAAACACAATCTTGTAATGAAGATGCAAAAGCAAGAATCACATTATTTTAAAAATCATGGGTTCAAATTAGTTCGGTCTCCCAGGAATAGTCCTGAAAAACCTCCTTTTAATGATCCTCACCTTCACCGACTTCATCTTACTTCCCAACATTCGTTCGATTTCATCAGAGTAGTCCTTCACCAGGTCTTGTCCATCCACCTCTACAATCTTAATGATTGGCTCCACATCCTTCAATTTCTGAGACAAAAACAAAGACAGAGTCAAGAACACCAGAAGTTTTTTTTTAAATATACAATAACAACACATATAACATATTTAATATTTATTTCAAAGCACTTTACACATCATCTCCCATTCACCCACACACTCACATTCCTACAAGCACTTTCTTCAACATCTAACTGCTTTTCTATCTAACATTTAAACTCATCCGCGCTTAGATGAATGCATCAGAGAGCACCTTGGAGCAGCCAAGGCTCTAACTCCTGAGCTGCAGCCACCAAAATATCCATACCGTTCTGGTAACAACAAAGAAAAGCATTGAATCTGTACATTAAATAAACATTAACTCTAGAAAGACAAACTTGCGGAGTGTCATCAGTTATTACGACATTTCAGGATATTCCCAACAAGGTCTGATGTCTTATCCTGTGTTTACAGTATAAATAAAATGCGGCTGCCTTTTTTATGAGATCATTCAGAGTAAATCAACTGCAGTGGAGGCGTCTCTCTCTCTCTCTCTCGGTATGTGTGTGTGCTTGTGTGTATTCTTATACTGAGGGGATATCTGAGGTTATTGGGTCACTTTCTTTGGATCAAGAAGCTCGAGGTGGATAAACCAGCTGAGTGTGCAGAGGGTCAGCCCAGTCTGGGTATTTACACTCTGAATCTCTTCATTAAGTCACTCCCTAATTCCAATTAGTTCAAGCTGCCCAAACTGAAGCAAATACACAAGCAGAGCCAAACACTGAGTCCAACCTCTGTGAAAATCTTCTATCTCGGTCTTGCACACTTGCTGTACAGGGTGGGCCATTTATATGGATACACCGTAATAAAATGGGAATGGTTGGTGATATTAAAGTCCTGTTTGTGACACATTAGTATATGTGAGGGGGCAAACTCCTCAAGATGAGTGGTGACCATAGTGGCCATTTAGAAGTCGGCCATCTTGGATACAACTTGTTTTTTCAACTTATTGGTAATGTCACAAGAAAAACAATGGTGTGCTTGGTTTCAACGTAACTTTATTCTTTCACGAGTTATTTACAAGTTTCTCTTTGTTCACAGCCATTGACATGTTGAAGAGGTTAACACGTGAGGAGCGGATCGAAATTGTGTTGATATCTGGTGAACGCAGTAACCGGGTCATTGCAGCAGATTTCAATGCAAGACACCCTACGAGACCACCCATTTCCCATGCTACAGTTAGCAAACTGCTTGCTAAGTTTTGTGAAACTGGTTCAGTGTTGGATTTGCCAAAATGTGGACGCAAGAAAACTGTCACTAATGAAGAAACATCAGTGGCTGTCCTAGCTTCATTCAGCAAGAGCCCACAGCGTAGCACTCGCCGCATGTCACTGGAGAGTGGCATTAGTCGAACATCCCTTCGGCGGATATTAGCTACTCACAAATGGCACCCTTACAAACTCCAGCTACTGCAGCATCTCAACGAGGATGACCCAGATCGGCGCACAGAATTTGCAGAATGGGCAAAACAAAAATTGGAACAGGACCCTCAGTTCACGCAGAAGATTTTGTTCAGTGATGAGGCAAACTTTTATGTGAATGGTGAAGTTAACAAACAAAACCACCGCTATTGGTCTGACACTAACCCACATTGGATGGATCCCTCCAAGACTGTTGGAACAACAAAAGTGATGGTTTGGTGTGGTATATGGGGTACAACGATAGTGGGTCCATTCTTCATCTACATGATGATGTGTTTCCCTCTTTATGCACTGAAGCTGGCACGTTCCCTGAGTTTTTCCAGCAAGATGGTGCACCACCACATTATGGGTGCCAGGTCCGAGCATTCCTAGATGAACAGTTTCCTGGAAAGTGGATTGGTCATCGTGGGCCAGTTGAATGGCCCCCAAGGTCTCCCGATCTGACCCCCTTAGACTTTTATCTTTGGGGTCATCTGAAGGCAATTGTCTATGGTGTGAAGATACGAGATGTGCAGCACCTGAAACTACGGATACTGGATGCCTGTGCTGGCATTTCTCCTGCGGTGTTGCTATCAGTGTGTGAAGAGTGGGAGAAGAGGGTTGCATTGACAATCCAACACAATGGGCAGCACATTGAACACATTTTATAAGTGGTCAGAAACTTGTAAATAACTCATGAAAGAATAAAGTTACGTTGAAACCAAGCACACCATTGTTTTTCTTGTGACATTACCAATAAGTTTGATGTGTCACATGGCCCTCTTCCTATTGAAAAAACAAAAGTTGTATCCAAGATGGCCGACTTCTAAATGGCCACCATGGTCACCACCCATCTTGAGGAGTTTGCCCCTCACATATACTAATGTGCCACAAACAGGACTTTAATATCACCAACCATTCCCATGTTATTACGGTGTATCCATATAAATGGCCCACCCTGTATAATGAGCACAGAGCTCTATGGAGTCACAAAAAGGATTTCTCAGTGGTTGTTTTGCATCTTAGAGGAAGGGGCCTCAGTGGAAATGTAACCTAGTGTACCTTTGATTATGATGGGTTGCTGCAGAGTGACCCATCACTGAGAGGTCAATTCAATTTAATTTTATTTCTATAGCACCAAATCTCAACAACAATCATCTCAAAGCACGTTATATTGTGAGGTAAAGACCCTACAATAATACAGAGAAAACCCCAACAATTATATGACCTCCTATGAACAAGCACTCTGCAACAGTGGGAAGGAAAAAAAAACCTTTTAACAGGAAGAAACGTGCAGCAGAACCAGGCTAGGGAGGGGCAGCCATCTGCCACGACCAGTTAGAGGTGAGGGGAGGAAGACAAGACAAAAGACATGCTGTGGAAGAGAGCCAGAGATTAATGATATCCATCCATCCATTCACTTCCGCTTATCCAGAGGACACCCTGGACAGGTCGCCAGTCTGTCGCAGAGCTAACACACAGAGACAGACAACCATTCAACCATTCGCACCATTATGCCAGAGTACACGGGGAGAACATGCAAACTCCACACAGAAAGACCCTGGCCTGATGGTGGGATTGAACTCAGGACCTTCTTGCTGTGCGGCAACAGTACTTTCCTTTGGTGTGATACGGTACTATGAGGTCTTTAACCTCCTAGGACCTGGTGTCCACATATGTGGACATCCCATTTTGGGTTGTCTAGACCAAAATACTAAATTTTGCTCTACAAGGGCCTGATATCCACTTACGAGGACATTATACTGCCACATGTATGCTATGCCTTCTGAAGATACTGCCAAGGGAAACTATGTATAACATGGGTGGGCAACTCCAGGCCTCGAGGGCCGGTGTCCTGCGAGTTTTACCTGTGTCCTTGATCCAACACAGCTGATTCAAACAGCTAAATGACATCCTCAACATGTCTTGAAGTTCTCCAGAGGCCTGGTATTGAATTAATCATTTGATTCAGGTGTGCTGACCCAGGGTGAGATCTAAAACCTGCAGGACACAGGCCCTTGAGGCCTGGAGTTGCCCACCCCTAACGTATACTGTTAACAGAACTGGTCCTAGCACCGAGCTTTACAAAACAGGGATCCAACGCAAGAATTAAAACAATGTTGAAAAGTAGAAGCATTCACAGAGTGCAAACCAAATGTACTTTAAGAAGTTTGTAGTGCAGTAAAAACAAGTGCAAAGTGCAGGCTTTATTAAAATGTGCCTTCTTAAAAACAAATTAAATATACTTGACATCATTTTAAGTGCAATTATTTTCTATCATTTATGTGGATTATTATATGTATGACATTTATTGCAGTGTTTCGTAAATTGGTTTTGTTAAATTGTGACCAATAAATCATTAAGTTGACTTCGAAAACCTCGATGGATGTAAGCCAGATTTTAATGGACTGCTAACATGACCCCACTCTACACCCCTACAGTTTTATCACAAGATCATTCAAACCTTTTTAAGCTATGATGTTTACAGAATGATGACACATGGATGCAAGCACTACCAAAAACATCCTTGTAAGTACCGTAATTACCCGTAGCATCATTTTTCTCCTAATAAATCTGTGCTAGGGCACTGAGCTGCATGTGCTCTTAGTTTTAAATGCTATTTTCCAAAACTGGACTTATTTCAGGATATTCTGGCTTCCTGTCTTCCCCCACACTGCTGAAATGCACAGAGTGATGCTGATGATGTAATGTGGGCTTAAACTCCCTGAAAAAAAGGTTTCTTGATCAGCCAGTTGGGGATGTTTCAATCATTTTTTGGTCCCAGTCGTGGCCTGAATCCTTTCAAGTAGCTCTACCCTGCTCGTCTCTGCAAGCGAACCAGACTTTAAGTGTGAACAACACACAAATACAACTCACCATTATTAATGTGCTTAGCACTACTATTACTGAAATTGGCATTTCATTGTTTTTTTAATTTCCATCCATCCATCCATCCATCCATCCATCGTCATCCGCTTTGTCCGGGGTCGGGTCGCGGGGGCAGCAGCCTAAGCAAAGAGGCCCAGACCTCCCTCTCCCCAGCCACCTCCTCCAGCTTGTCCGGGGGAATACCAAGGCGTTCCCAGGCCAGCCGAGAGATATAATCTCTCCAGCGTGTCCTGGGTCTGCCCCGGGGCCTCCTCCCGGTGGGACATGCCTGGAACACCTCACCCAGGAGGCGCCCAGGGGGCATCCTTGTCAGATGCCCGAACCACCTCAGCTGGCTCCTTTCGATGTGGAGCAGCAGCTGCTCTACTCTGAGCCCCTCCCGGATGGCCGAACTTCTCACCCTATCTCTAAGGGAGAGGCCAGCCACCCTTCGGAGGAAGCTCATTTCTGCCGCTTGTATCCGCGATCTCGTTCTTTCGGTCACTACCCACAGCTCGTGGCCATAGGTGAGGGTAGGGACGTAGATCGACCGGTAAATTGAGAGCTTCGCTTTTACACTCAGCTCCCTCTTCACCACGACGGACCGGTGCAGCGTCCGCATTACTGCAGCTGCAGCCCCAATCCGTCTGTCGATCTCCGGCTCCCTTCTCCCATCACTCGCGAACAAGACCCCGAGATACTTGAACTCCTCCACTTGGGGCAGGAACTCATCCCCGACCCGGAGTGGGCACTCCACCCTTTTCCGGCTGAGAACCATGGCCTCAGATTTGGAGGTGCTGATCCTCATTCCCGCTGCTTCACACTCGGCTGCGAACCGTTCCAGTGCGAGCTGGAGGCCCTCACCCGATGAAGCCAACAGAACCACATCATCTGCAAAAATCAGAGATGAGATTCTGAGGCCACCAAAGCGAAAGCCCTCCGCCACTTGGCTGCGCCTAGAAATCCTGTCCATAAAAATTATGAACAGAACCGGAGACAAAGGGCAGCCCTGGCGGAGCCCATCACCCACCGGGAACGAGTCCGACTTATTGCCGGCAATGCGAACCAAGCTCTTGCAACGGTTGTATAGGGATCGAATGGCCCGTAGCAATGGGCCAGACACCCCATATTCCCGCAACACCTCCCACAGGACACCCCGAGGGACACGGTCGAATGCCTTCTCCAAGTCCACAAAACACATGTAGACTGGTTGGGCAAACTCCCATGCACCCTCAAGTATCCTGGAGAGGATAAAGAGCTGGTCCAGTGTTCCGCGACCAGGACGAAAACCGCATTGTTCCTCCTGTATCCGAGGTTCGACTAACGGACGAACTCTCCTTTCCAGCACCCTGGCATAGACTTTCCCAGGGAGGCTGAGGAGTGTGATCCCCCTGTAGTTGGAACACACCCTCCGGTCCCCTTTCTTAAAGATGGGGACCACCACCCCGGTCTGCCAGTCCACAGGTACTGCCCCTGATCTCCACGCAACATTGCAGAGGCGTGTCAACCAGGACAGCCCTACAACGTCCAGAGCCTTCAGGAACTCGGGGCGGACCTCATCAACACCAGGGGCTCTGCCACCAAGGAGTTGTTTAACTGCCTCAGTGACCTCGCCCCCGGAAATTGGCGGGTCATTCCCCTCATCCCCAGACTCTGCTTCCTCCTCGGAAGACGTGTCAGTGGGATTAAGGAGGTCCTCGAAGTATTCCTTCCACCGCCTGACAATTTTCTCAGTCGACGTCAGCAGCGCTCCGCCAGCACTATACACAGTGCAGGTAGAGCACCGCTTTCCCCTCCTGAGACGTCTGACGGTTTGCCAGAATCTCTTCGAGGCAGTCCGAAAGTCTTTTTCCATGGCCTCTCCGAACTCCTCCCACACCCGAGTTTTTGCTTCAGCCACTGCCCGAGCCGCATTCCGCTTGGCCTGTCGATACCTGTCGGCTGCCTCCGGAGTCCCACAGGCTAACCAAGCCCAATAGGACTCCTTCTTCAGCCTGGTGGCTCCCTTCACCTCTGGTGTCCACCATTTGGTTCGGGGATTACCACCACGGCAGGCACCCACCACCTTGCGGCCGCAGCTCAATGCAGCAGCTTCGGCAATGGAGACACTGAACATGGTCCATTCGATTACAAAATCGATCATCGACCTACGGCCTAGAGCGTCCTGGTGCCACGTGCACTTATGGACACTCTTATGTTCGAACAGGGTGTTCGTTATGGCCAAACTGTGGTTAGCACAGAAGTCCAATAACAGAGCACCGCTCGGGTTCAGATCAGGGAGGCCGTTCCTCCCAATCACGCCCCTCCAGGTCTCGCTGTCGTTACCCACGTGAGCATTGAAGTCTCCCAGCAGGACAACAGAGTCTCCAGGTGGAGCACCCTCCAGCACCCCCCCCAGGGACTCTAAGAAGGCTGGGTACTCTGAACTGCCACTCGGCGCATAAGCGCAGATGACAGTCAGGACCCGTTCCCCGACCCTAAGGCGCAGGGAACAAACCCTCTCGTCCACCGGGAAAAACCCCAACGTACCGGCAGCAAGCCGAGGGGATATTAGGATACCCACCCCAGCCCGCCGCCTCTCACCAGGGGCAACTCCAGACTGAGACAGAGTCCAGCCCCTCTCCAGGAGACTGGTTCCAGAGCCCAAGCCATGCGTAGAGGTGAGCCCGACTATATCTAGCCGGTACCTCTCAACCTCACGCACTAACTCAGGCTCCTTCCCCACCAGAGAGGTGACATTCCATGTCCCTATTGCCAGTCTTGGCAGCCGGGGGTCAGTCCGCCAGGGCCTCCGCTCCTGGCCGCCACCCGGCACACAATGCACCCGACCCCTATGGCGCCTCCTGCGGGTGGTGGGCCTGCGGGAGGATGGGCCCATGTCTCCTCTTCGGGCTGTGCCCGGCCGGGCCCCATGGACTAAGGCCCGGCCACCAGACGCTCGCCCTCGGGCACCCTCCCCGGGCCTGGCTCCAGGGCGGGGCCCCGGTAACCCTATCCCGGGCAGGGTAAACTGTTCCCTCGGTGTCCTTTTCATAAGGGTCTTATGAATCGCTCTTTGTCTGGTCCCTCACCCAGGGCCAATTTGCCATTTTAATTTATGGTGGATAAATGTGGTTTGAATCTTTGTTTAATTATTTTTATTTCTTTGTGTTATCTTTCAGATGTCACTGAGGTGAGAAGGATAAGGAGGCGCATAAAGTAATGCCATAGAGTTTATGGGATGGTTATTATACAAGATGATCTTGAGGGTCAGCCTTTTAACATCATTTAACATTCATTTTAGCACTGATACATTCATAGATTTGCTCATATAGCAATCCTCCAACGATTGCTGTATTTTATTTCTCATTCATGGCCAGAGAAAACGTACATGAAAACAACATGAAACCCGCAAGGCAGAAAACAATGTTATCTGGGGGTTATTTTGGTTCCTATACATGCATGTTGTTTATTCTGCAGGAGGTGGATGTGTGTTTAAAAGCATACAAACTGCTGACTGCCTCTGACGGCTCTAAATCTGACAGATAAATGGATGAATGTCTAAAATCAGAACAGGCCGCAAATCCTGACGCTGGTAAAGAGGGCTCAGTCCTCAATCTGGGCATTATCATGATCCCTGGGTGTGTTTGTCCTGGCAAACAAGCATAAATGTGCACACAGACTCACACACACACAATGATAGGCACACTCACCAACATACACGAATGTACATCCGAACTCTTCCAATTGCTCTTTGTTTCCAGTTCAAACAGTCAGAAGCCTCAGGACCAGTTTGAGGGTAAGAAACTCACATCTAAAGTAGACTTTGGCCATGTTTTAATTATTAAAAGAAAATTCAACCCAAATGAATACAACACCAGAAAAGACAAATACAAGCCTCAATGGTTTATGAGACTTCTTTGTAGAACCTACAGAGAGTGAACGCTCCAGAAGTATGAAAGACTGAAATAGGACCTCTCAGTTTTGGACACGTTGGCCAAATCATTGCTCAGTCAGTATTTATGCTTTCTTGCAGCCTTATGCAAATGTTTGGTAAAAGTCTGAGGCTTGTCGAAATGACAAATCCTAGAACATTCTTTTTAGGACGACTTTTGAATTTGAAATTTGCTTTTACCAGTTCTGGCTTCATTTACCTTCTGCAGCAGCAGAGATCCAGAGTATTTGGTTGCACACTCTCGAAGTTCTGCAGAGAATCTCAACGCCCACTGCTGCACCCTGCAAGACAGAAAGACAACAGACAATATCAAGGACTCACATTACAGACTGTTAGAAAACCACAAGAAGAGACGCAAACAAAAGATAAGGAAACAAAACAAAATAAAACAAACAAGCAAAAAGAAAAGAAAAGAAAATCTCACCACTAGATATCAGTAGATTGCAGTTAAATGAACTTCATGCATTATCCTAACTAAGATGGCTGCTGTAAGACAAACAGCTCTGGCTGTAAAGTGAGTGTTGGCTCTTAGGCTGTTGTTTACCTCAGCTGTCAATGTGTCCATGTCTATTTGGACTGTAAAACATTGTGAAACGAGTTTAATACAAGCCAATGACTCCGAGAAGCTCATCAAGTTCTGCTATTTTTGCTATTAGCCACTGTTACATCCACTTCAAAGAAAGTTTCACCAACGTTGTTGGACTCTGAAACTTTCATACAATGTGAGAATGTAATCAAACTGTTTATCAAGGGAAAGCGTGAATTTTAGAACAATTAAGCCAAACATTAGCTGAAAACAAGAACACTGCAGGCAACAAGGACACGGACCAGCCGGCTCATTATCGGTATTCAGCTCAGTCCGCCTCTCTGATGGTACGGAGGTGCGTCAGTGTCTGGAACTGGCAGCTCGAAAATCTGGAAAGGTGAAATCAATGCTGACAGAAATATACACTTTTTTACAGATGATGTCTTTGTCAGAGGTGCCTTGTATATTTCAGAAAGATAATCTTATACCGCATACTTCATCTACTCGAACAGCATGGCTTCATAGTAGAAGAGTTTGGTTGCTGAACTTTCCTGCCTGCAGTGTGTGAGAACATTTGGAGCACCAAGAAAGCAAAAATAGAACAAAGACAAGCCAGGGCTGCTGAGAGCTAGGATCCTCTATCAGACAAGAATGGGAAAACTGTCCTCTCCCAGAAGTAGAGTTAAAAGTAGAGTGGATACTACACAGTGGGAAACATGGCCCTATTCCAACTTTTTGAGACGTGTGGCTGCATTAAAATTAGGGAGAAGATCCTCTAGGACACCATCCATCATCTCATTACGAGCACGGCCCGGGTCAGGCATGCATACAAGCATGCAGGCCGTAGAAACTACTGAAACGATGTGACATCCTTTTATTCCCAACACATCATGCAGTCCATATCTGTATCGATATGCAGCATGATTTTTTTTTCCAGTGTTCTCTCAATTTGTCGGAGCAGTGTGTATATAGTGTCATGCCACATATTATTTTGTGTTAAGTTTCACTCTGTGTACTTACCGATTTGAATATATGAGGTTTATCAGTTTTTATTCCTTTATAATATGATTCATCCCGCTTGGTTTCCTGATTCTTGTGGATCGCGTTTGACCACCTGGGTTGGCTGGCCTGATTTGTAGCACCTGTCTGAGCTGCTATCGATGCCAGCTGGGTTTGAATAACGCAGTGTGCTGGACCTTTTGATCTCCATCTGTTACATACACACTGTCCTCTAACTTCTTTGATTAAACATTAAAATATTAGTTGAGGAAAGCATCGCAGCGAAACGGTCATGAAAGAAGCCCATGTTTAAAATTTGCTGTTAGCCACTGCATGATAAAAATCATTGGTGCACTCAGACAAACTGGACTCGTACTGAGCTTGGAGCACTTCTCATCAATGGTCTATGTAGCAGAAAGGCAGGGACCCTTTGTTTATGCTATACCACCACTTTACCTCAGGATGAAAAGTTCTGTTGTTACGTTCTTGCGCTGTCAGGTGTTTAGCGTAAGCTTGACCGTGTGTTTCCATGACAACGCTTGGCTCAGCAGCGGTGCATTACAGCAGAAAAAGGCCCTTAAATATGACAGTGATGAAAGAGATTTAGATAATCTGCTCCTCATCTGGGTCACAGCAGAGAGCTGCAGGGGTCCACTCAGCACAGACCCACAGCAATGCAACAAAGCTGCAAGTTAAAGTTTTGGTTTGTGTCGCAACAGCAAAATGGACAATTAACACAACAGACACTATAATGTTTCTATCATATGATATAGAAATATAATATAATAAAATATGTACAGAGGAGGTCAGGAGAGATGTAGAAGAGTGAAGTACTATAACCATCTGTGAAAACCAGTGAAAGCTTTGTCATGGTTTCTGCATTTCAGCCATGTCTCAAAGCTGATGATCACTGATTGTGAACTAAGGCCATGCACACAGGCTGGTTAAAGCTCCATCATGTCATAGATGCACATGATCCAGAAACCCTGCCTAAACAGTTTGTTTCAGACACAGGATGACCCGAAGGCCCATTTTGAACTATGAATTATTCAAAGTTACCCCTGGAATTGAAAGCAAAAACATCAATCTGGAGATTGGGAGAACAACGTTCACTTTAACCATTCTGAGGGAAAACATCATCAGAATATTCCAGGTCCAGGTGATGAATAATTACACATAATGAAGACAGTGTGAAGTGCTTCAGTCACAGCACTTCACACAGACAGACAGAGGAGAGAGAGAGTTTACCCAGCATGTGTTGAAAAGGAGGGTAACTCTCCATCTGTTCTGGACATTAATCCTCTAAGTTCAGTGCAGACACACACACACACACACACACAGTAAATACACTGTGGGCTTGTAACAGGTTTGACAATAACCCATGTAAGACACACTGCTCTGCTACAGATGTAACTAATTACTGTTCATTTAAATTCTGGGTGCTAGATTCCTTTGATGAATCATTTAAACTATGAAATGCTATGTACCATCATGCACACGTCTTATTATATATGAGCAACTCTCAGCGGCAAAGAGCTGCCAAAACTGTAGTTTGTTAAAACTCCCGATGCCATCAGCAGTGTTGGGAAGGTTACTTTTAAAATGTATTCCATTACAGAATACAGAATACATGCCCCAAAATGTATTCTGTAACGTATTCCGTTACGTTACTCAATGACAGTAACGTATTCTGAATACTTTGGATTACTTAATATATTATCATGCTTTTTACAACAACGTGAATGTACTATTGCTGTGTGATTTATTACTGTTACTGAAGGTCCGCGACTCCGAACTGTAGTAAAGGGACCTCTGACTAATACGGCGGGGTCCCTGTCGGCCCGTAGCCGAAAACTAGCTTTACTTTGTTGTCTGGGTCACTTTTCTTGCGAGAGACAGAGAGAGGCGTTGAAAGACTGCTCCAACGGAACTTATTGTTTTCGGAGGAAAACACGAACACGGTGTACAGTCGAGTCTTAATAGCTTACTTACAACTGGGCTCGTCAGGCTCTCTTCTTGGCTGAAGTGGTTATTATAATATTTAGATGCTTCCAGCTCCCGTTTTTCCTCGATGACAACTCGTACCTTTCCACTCCCCTTTTTCTCCCTCCTCGCGCTCACAGACACATAATGTGTATGGCAGTCCATTCTCCCTGCAGCACGGACTACACTGCCCATGATGCTACATTCTTTAGAGCTATGCTTGTAGCATTCTGCCTGTTAGCTTAGCACAACAACAACAACGAAAAGGCGCTCTCTCACCCAGGAAACACACAGTCGCACAGAGAGAGAGAGAGAGAGCGTTGCCCTGTAACCATGGCAACCGTAACGCTGCCGCCTGGAATAACAGAATGTAGCTGTCAAACAAAACCCAAACAGTCCTGACAGGAAAGTACCGCAGTGTAATCCATTTATTTCAACAAAGTAACTGTATTCTGAATACCACCTTTTTAAACGGTAACTGTAACGGAATACAGTTACTCATATTTTGTATTTTAAATACGTAACGGCGATACATGTATTCCGTTACTCCCCAAAACTGGCCATCAGTGATCATGTGATTTAAGTGCTCGATGCTTTGCCCTTTTTTCTTAGATTTTTATCTGTTTTTTCTTTAATCCCAGAACTCTTGACAGTATAAAATTTTAAAAATAACAATAATTTTGTTTGAATCATGTTTACCCTTGTAAGGAACTCTTCTCTCCATTTTCTCTTTACTCTTTTACACATCACAAATGGCAGAGTTTGACCACCATGAATAGAATAGAAATTTGACCCCGGAACATGTTATCAGTAGGCTGGCTGGATAGCATCTTATAGTTACGTATTTTAAAATGTAACATTCAGCAGAACAACCCAAATAATTCAATCTGAGCTCAGAGAGATGATGAACACTGCTGGAAGACTGAGCTGGAGTCATGGTAGGCACTGGTTTGCTTGTGTTTCTGTCTCGCTCCTGTTTTCTTTCTCAGGCCTTGGCTGGGTTGGGCAGGTGGAGCTCTACCTTTGGGTGGAGTTGCCACCATCTCCTGCACACCAGCAGGAGATGGTGGCACACCTGTTGCTTATTTTCCTGTCTCCAAGTATTTAAGAACCAGCTCACACATCCAGTCTTTGCCCAATTGTCTGTTTTTCAGTGTGGTATTCAAACCCTTCCTTGTGACCTTCCTTGGCACCCCTCCTGGACCTTACCAACAACCCTCACGTGTAAGCCTGCACCTTCAGTCCTTACTTCTCCTGAACCCAGCCTTCTGGATCTAATACTGCTCTCCTCTCTCCCAGTGAACCTTCGTCTAAATGCATCTCCGGAAACTCAGGAATTCCGCTTTTGCCAGTGTCCTCTATCCTAGAGAAATCCCCCCATGGAAGTTATTCTGTGTTTTAAAATCAGTGCTTCTTGTAAACAATAAAGGTCTTGAGTTTGATCAGTTCAGCCTCTTTCTGGTTGTGCATTAGAGTCCACTATGCCTTTGGTGTTCATGCCTTGATAAGCGTCTGCCTTTAGTTTTCCAAACTGTTTAACTTAAAGCAGCAATCCTTGATGAATCTCTCTGTCCTTCAGCTCTCTGCAGATTTACGTTTTACTTTAGTTGCTGTATTTAATCCTTTATTTGCTGCCTTTGAAACACTTCAGTCGCTCATCCTGTCCTCCTTCAACACATGCTTGAATCTTCTGAGGTCTTTCCCTTTTCCTCCTGCCTGGCAGCTTTATCTACATCATCCTTTTTCCATCGTATCCACTATCCCTCCTCTGCACATATCCAAACCATCTCAGCCCCAACTTTGTCTCTAACCTGAGCTGTCCCGCAGATATACTCATTTCTAAGCCTGTCCATCCAAGTGACTCCCAAGAAAAATCTTACCATTTCATCTCTGCCCCCTCTATCTCCACCTTCTGTGTTTTTGTCAGCACCCTTGTGTTCCAAATCATTTGACTGATATCATTGATCGAAACTATAAACTTCATTTATTCAACACTCCTCCCAGAGCTTCGCACTGAACAGGTAGCAATGATTACTCTGACATTTTTCTACCTGTTATAACATAAAAATGTTTTCATTTTCAATACAAATTGTGCCAGGTCTGAAAAAATAAATAATAAATGGATCACCTACACTGCCTATAAACGTAAAATGTCACATGTCAAACATCTGGGAGATGTCAATAATAAAGAATGGGTAGTGCTCATTACATCCCTGTAAACTCATCTGCCCCGAGTTTCCTTGTTTTTCTGACACATTGTTTAAAACATCATAATTTTACTTACTAGCCTTTTCCAAAAAAATAAATAAATAAAAATGTAAAAATACATTAAAATAAGTACTGCCAGGCATGGGAGCCTTTAAAATCTAAATAAGAATGTTAAAGTGTATTTCATGTGTTCAGAGGTATGAATGGAAGCAACTGAGATACTGGGTTGGTATTCCTGCTACTGAAAGTCTGATTGTATGGGTCATGAACTCCAGGCAATGTTGGAAAAACTAGGTCGGTCCAAAAAAGAACTAGAAGCACGCTCTTCGGTTCAGGTGAGTACACACCACACCGCTGTGAAGTTACTGGACAGTTACTTGTTCTCGCCTGCGTCGATGTTGGGTAACGTGTAGAAATGTTCTGGGCTGCAGTCCACCTGTGAAAACAGCTTCCAGTATAAGTCTGAGGGGGCAGAGCCCTATAGAGCAATTTATTTTCTCACATTTAGAGTTCTAACAGTACCAGCTGATCACTTTATATTCACTGTTAGGTTTAACAGTCCTAAAATGCTGCAGCATATGAAAGCAACGGTCTCCCATCCGTCTCCAATTCAATCTAAAAATGCTCCCAAAATAAATCCTCCATCAAGATCACCTCTGAAGTCTATTCAGCTAATCCCCTGTGCCGAGGGTGATCTGCCCAGCAGACTGACTGACAGAAAATACACAGCCATCATTTCATTTCACAACCAGGTCAAAGGTCAGCAGTCCAGACAGCGACCTGGAGCAATGTCAAAGTTTTTTTGTTTTTTTTTAACTGCTTATCTAACTCATCGTGGTGATGTATGGCAAAAAAATCGGGTTAATGTACTGTCTAATACAGCCGATAAGACAGCTTTATGATTAAGCCTGGAGACAAGCTACAGTTAATTGTGCACTATGCAGCACTTGCATTAAATACTTGTTTTATTGCTTTATATTAAGTGTTTATAACACAACCAAAAAAATAAGACTTTCCTCTAGTTTCTTGGCTGCTTCTAACAGCCTGTAGACTGTGTGCAGGTTGGGTTCAAGGCACAAGACTTTTATACTCGCTCCTGCCTCTGTGAACCTCATCTGCCATCTTATAGAATCACAGTTAGCAACACTAGCTCATATCAGCCAACAGACACCATTAATCACCAACATCAACAAACGAGCTGCTCCCACAGATGAAACACAAACTTTACAAAAGGGGCAAAAAAACAATCAGTTTAATCTAGTGAAGCACTTTTGGTCAAGTGGTAATGTGACCAGTAATGAGGCAGAACTGGTCACTACATCAGCACAGCATCTTCCTACTTTGATCCATGCATGGGTGCATGAGCACGCAACCAAGCAGCAGCAGGCTGGTAAAAGGTGACAACTACAACTATCTGGATGAAAAACAAAACATTCAATAGATTGATAATTTCCATGAACCTTGCAAAATAAAAACAGTAAATCCTAGAAATATTATTATTGTGTGTGAAATACATGCCTGATCTTCTATATCAGAACTGCCAGTGAAAGTGAACTCTGCAGCTTCTCATTTCATTTTGTTGGTGCTGCCATCTGTGACGGCCTGCTTGAAAGTCTGACAGTATCGCGTTACCTCAGTTATTGCTCACTGAGTGTCACTGGTACAAAGTCCTGCCTCTTTAGCTCTGCATGCCACAGCGGCTGAGGTGGATTTGCATGGGTTTAGGTGCATTTGTAGCCAGGTGACGTGGCCCTGTTTGTCCAGGCCTATGGCGGTTTGGTGGAGAATGTGGGTCAGGCTTGGAAAGGTGACCGTGGCCAGCGAGCCATGCTGGCCCACAGATGGTGATGCGGAGGGAGCGTGTGAGGAAGCTGTAGCCGTGCAGGACTGCAGCTGCAGGGAGCTGCTGCTCTCTAACTGCCTCACAGATTCATGATAATGAGCTTCAACGGCAGCAAAACAGACAACACAAAACCACAAACATGTTGGGTAGATAAACACACTGCAAGAGCTTTGCATGTCACAAACAGTACATAAGAGAAAAGCAAAGTTGCTACAATTTTAATGAGCTTGAAAATCAATATTTGGTACGACCAGCTTTATTCTTCAACAGCCTGAACTCTCTTAGGCAGCTTTCTTATATATTTCCTTAAGTAGTCTTCAGGAATTGTTCTCTGAAGGGTGTTCAAAGCTCTTTGGATGTTGGCTGCCTTTTTCAGGCTCTCTTGAGGTCCAGACCCTGCGGAGGCCAATCCATGGCTTAAAGTATTCCAGTGTGTTTTTCTATCCAGGTGTTTTTATTGCGCTGGCAGTGTTTGGAATAATTGTCACAATAAAAGAATGAAGCCACTGTCAATCAGACACTTTCCAGATTGTGTTGGTCGATCAAAATCTGTGTTCTCCATAAATTCTGGAAAGATCTCAGACACCACTGACTGAAATGCGGCCCCAAACCAAACAAAGCCTCCAGCATGTTTTACACATGTAGACAATCAGTCTTGCAGTTCTCTCCTGACCTCCTCTGCACATATTAACAATAATTTAAACCAGAAAGTCAAAATCAGAAAAAAAATCAGGGGATAGAAGTCTACCATAGTGGAGATTATTCGTATGATGAAAACTATAGAAATGTACTGGAAACCCTCGATTCATCCATATTGTCCTGCTCACCTGGGTTGCAGGATCAACAATCAATGCAGAAATTCCCAAACCTTTTCAAGCTGCTGAAAAGTCAGCTGAAAGGCAGAGTCCTGGTTCTGCCCTGGATATGTCTGAAACTTCTCACCTAGGACCCACCCAATTAGCATCCTAGTCAGATGTCTGAACCTTCTCCAATCACTTCTTCCAAAGTAGTTCTATTATGAGCTCCTCAACCTCTCTCCAAGAGTGAGACCAGGCATTTTCCAAAGAAGGTTATTTCCGCTCCTTGCTCATTTTTCCAGTTGCCTCCCACAGGTCCCACACATAGAGGAGAGCAGGGACATGTAGTCAAAAATGTGCAATGCAATGTATTTCTTATTTTAACAAAAGAAAAACTTCATAAACCACACAAAAAACCTAAACAGCTTAGAACCTAATAGCAAAGTAACTGTTTTTTTGGCCAAACTGGATGCTGTACTCCAGTTTGTGTGACCCATGTTGAACAGCTGAGTTAAAATAAGCTTTTGGGTTTCCTAAATCTGAGTTTTTAGAAGTGTTACATCACTTTTAACTGTCACACCTGCAAAAATCAAAGACAGTGGAGAGCAGATTTCAGGGAGTCCTGAGGGAAAACAGCCTGCCGAAACACAGTTATTCTCTCGGGACCTCCATGAAAGCGCAGTGCACTCTGGGAGTTGACTATCAGAAGCTGGAATAAGCCCATTCAGGACTATTTTCTACAAGCTACACGCTTACTATATTCTATATGCGTTCATATTAACATGTCAGTCATGTTACCATAACTGCGAATGACATTCAACTTTCCCATCCATGGGTTTCTAACGATATCTACAGTCTTACAATAATGCAGGCCTTTAAAAAAACATTTTAACCCTCTGCAGAGGTTATGAGACGTAAACATTGTGCACTTACGTCTCAGGTGGGATCTTCATCTGAGCCTCAGCTGTGATCAAAAGGCAAAAAATTCCCATTAGCCTCAAGAGGGTCCTCATTCCCAAAACATTAATGCTGTCCATCCTGTATCCCTGAAGTCCGGACTTGGAGCTCCTTTAAAGAGACTTTAAAGGAAGATTCTCAAACTGGGAGAAGCTCTGAATGTTCAAGAAGATGATAAAGAGTTTGTAGGAAACGGTTTCCTCATGTTGGCTAAAGACAGGAAACGGTGACATTTATAGTTACAGACTTTTGACCCTGAACTCTTTCCATCACGTCTGAATAAACTGGTCCTGCTGCCAGCATCTTCTCTGTTTGCTTCAGCCTCTCATCTTCATCAGAGCAACTTCTAAAAGATCCAGAGAAACTCAAAATCATTGCACACCCAGACAAAGAGTTAAAAATCCATCCTACTGTCCACAGGAAAGACTACTGTAGCAAGTTCCTCCAGGTTACTCCTTATGGAACCAGGAACAGTGAGTGGGTTCATTTCACCACCTTGCAGATATTAAAGAAAACATAAAGCTGGTTGTCTGCAGTAGACACTGCAGCCACTTGCCTTCCCTGTCGCCCAATTTGTGGTGTAATCCACTTGGATTAAAAACTCCTCTTCCTCATGGA